CTCTGGTATCCATGTGAGAGCTGTTTTGGCAGGTATATTATGATTCATTCTCATAATGTGGCCAAGCAATTTCCATCTTCTCTTGGTTATCATACTGTCTAGAGTTTCTTGGTTTGTGACTTGAAGTAGTTTAGTGTTTGAGATTGTATCTGGCCAGAAAATTTTGATAATTCTACATAGACATGTGTGGTGGAAGGTGGACAGCTTGTGTACATCCTTTTTGGTCATTCTCCAGCATTCCGCTCCATAAAGAAAAACTGGCAAAATGATGCTCTTGTAGAGTGGAGTTTTGTTCCTCTGCGGTAACTGTTGGATTTCCAGATTTGCCTCATCCTTCCAAAAGCAGCTCTAGCTTTGTTCAGGTGTGACTATGTCTTCCTCTGTCCCTCCCAGTAGGGACACTACACTGCCAAGATATGTGAAATGTTCTACATATAAACTGAATATAAACAATAAATTAAAAAAAAAAAGTTTCAGTTGGGGCTTGTAGCCTGAATCTTCCACGTGGTAGGCGAATGTGGTAACAACTGAGCTGCAGAAAATCTAACAAAAACCCGCTTTCGTAACACCAGAATATAAGAATGTGACAGAAGCCACGTGTTTAATATTTTGAAAATTATTAAATCTTAATTATAAGGTCAGTGGAATTTTTTTAACATGTAGCAGTCTCATGCTTGAGGTGTTAATCCTGGGGACAACAATCCTGGAATGGATGGAGAACGAACACAGCACTTTAACGCTCTCATCTCACTGCAAGTATAAAGGAGAATTCTTTTTCTTTGCACTCGCCGGGTAAAAACTCCGGTGGAAAGTTCAGGTCCACTTCTGTCTTTAAATCTTCAGTTTTGTGTGAGCATCTGATTACACATTTTTTGTATGCAAACTGTTGGTTAATATTTTCAGTGACTATGATAAATACGGGTCTAACTAAAATATAATCTCCCATTCTCTACTTCCTCTTTGTCTCTATGCCTGCTGTATCTTTAGTCACTGCCCCTAACTGCACCAGTCACCCATACCTTTCCCCCCCCTCCCCCCCACCAATATTTAACAATTTTGGAGACACATGTACTGATTGTGGTAATAATTAAAAGAAATGCACATAAACTTGGCCGCCAATGTGACTGTTGAATTAAACATTGCAGCTATTTCGGCATTTCAAAATTTAACCCACGTAGTGGTCACAGTATGCGAGGAGTAAACAGTTGACTTAAAATTAACACACAAATTTAAAAAAAAAGGCGTTTGTGCTTTATAATACAGATTTATCAACTTTTATAGGAAAGTTATTTCTTTTTTCTCTCAATTACATAGTTCTTTACGTCCTTTTTAGGACGTAATTTTTTGTTATTTGAAGCCCCACTCTGGCTTTTGCCAGGGGCCGCAATATAGGCAGGCTATCAATATGGCCAATTGTCTGAACGCGGTTTCTGGGACCTCTCCACGGCGATCCTCATAAACATGGTGGCACTTTGTGTCATCGGGTGTTTATCGCTTGTGTGATGTCCTGGTGGGGTAGAAAGTCAGTCAGTTATTTCTTTGATATTATAATCGATACGACCTTTTTAGGATGAAATTTGTTGTTTTTTGAAGACCCACCCTGGCTTTTGCCAGGGGCCGCAATATAGGCAGGCCATAAATATGGCCAATTGTCTGAACGCGGTTTCTGGGACCTCTCCACGGCAATCCTCATCCACATGGTGGCACTTTGTGTCATCGGGTGTTTGTCACTTGTGTGATGTCCTGGTGGGGTAGAAAGTCAGCCAGTCAGTTATTTCTTTGAGTAAAGTAAATATTCTATATAACACAGGGCAACTAGAAAGTTAAATATGGAAGAAAAACACTGTACACAAAACTTTTATCATCTTGAAATCTTCAAAAGAAAGATCAGTGTAACAATATTAAAATATAGTCAGTCTTATTCAAAAGGTAACAAGCAATAGAGAGGGGAAAAAAAACTGCACATTAAAGCTTCAAACATTACAGGAACAAAAAAAGATATTTACATAATTTTTGCAATAAACAAGTACATAAAACTGTTTATACTTAGTAAATTCAACTGGTGACAATAAGTGTTTGTAAGTTTGTAATATTATCTCTCCATTGTCTTCCTGATCTACCTCATATTCTACAATCATTCAACTGCCATGTGTACACAGTTTTCACCATTCTGTCATGTGACATTCTGTCATTAGTACCACCACTACAGATGTTTAAATTTTTGTTCTGCCTCTGCAATGGAGGGTGGCTACAGTGCGCCCAGTGATATTACTGTGAATATTACGCCGTTAGGTCCCAATCAGGCAGGGCACTACAGTCAGCCTTGTTAGAAAGATACAGAAGTAACAGATCCAGAGGTTCACCAGGCAGAAAACGGACCGCAAAAATATCAGAGACACTGAAAAGTACTTTACACGAAGTGAACAGAGAGGCCTGTTCCAGGGATTTCTTCCTGCCCTGATGCCGCAAGGCATTCCAGGAGTAGAGAAGATAAGAGGGTCCCAATCATTTTAAGGATGCGACTTTTGTACCGCTGTCTGCAAGCTGTGAGAACAGTCTTTACAAAAAAAAAAAATAAACCATCAGCTTTGACTACAACTGTGGGACGCAGAGGTGCTGAGCCAAGTGTAATGGTGCACAAGGACCTGGGCTCATACAGGTCAACAGAGGCCAAAGTCGCCAGCACCAATATTTAATTCAAAATCAGAGGCCATCTGTCCCCACTTCTTCACTCAAATAATTCAGGTCTATTTTTTTTTTAAAATTCCAAAAACCATGAATTGTTAATTAACCTTTTGGTACTATGGATATCGCAAACTTTCGGCCTTGATTCCATGATAGATACTGTAAATCTGGGAGAAATGTGTTTTTTGTGTGTGCCTACCACTGGGAGTGAACCCAGACCACAAGGAGTTCGTCACCTGGTCGCCGCGAAGTCAGGTTTAACAAACTACGCTAGCAGGCCAGGCTAGGTCAGGTCTATAAAATGGATGTGCACATACAGGCATGTCCTGGAACAAAACCAAAGTCTAAAAAGGACAACAAGCAGGGTTTTCCACGTGAGTGAATTTACAACCAGAAAAGTATTCTACCTTCATAGTGAAAGTGCAGTGGCTAGCTTTTATGCCCTCTGGCCCATTTGTCACGTGTTCAGATCATTGTTTCCCATCTGGTCTGTGCATCTAGAATTCATCTCCTTTATTTTCCCCTTCAATTGCTTTGGGTGTTAAAAGCTCCTGCTTCTTGGTCTTCTGGCTGCCTTGACCATCGTTACATCATGCTGTTGTAGAGTTATTGTGATGTTATCTTTCCATCTTGTTACTGGTCTACCTTGTGCTTTACAATATTCTCCTCTTTTGGTGTATGCCTTGTATGGTATGGTGTCACAAGGCATTCATTCTAATTAGCTACATAATTTAGTTTGTTAATTTGTATGTAACTTAGAACAGGCTCTGTGCCAACTTTTTCTCCTATGACCTCGTTCCTAATTTTATCACAAATATTTAATTTTTGCTTTCAAATTTATGTATGTTCTTTGTTGCTAGTGAAGATGTCTCAAAATATCACCACTGACAATGAGGTAAACACCAGGATCTCTAACGCCAGCTGCACACTTTGCAGACTACTCACCAATGTGTGGATGTCTATTCGAAAAGATGCAGCGATTTGCGAGGCATCTAAAAAATAAGCCCTTTATCTACAGATATTATTTCCTGTTGTGACTGATGAACAACAACAACAGAGCTGCAGCAGCGTGGTACTAGACATGAGGGCTGGGTTTGAATCTCCAATGGAGCAGATTTTAATTTTTTGTTTAAATACCCTTGGCTTCCAGGTTTACTCGGCCTAAAATGGGTACCAGCCAAATCCTGGGAAGTCAAGTCAGCCAGCAAGACGCTGGCCACATTAACCATTAACTCTTTCAGTTGCAGAGGTTTACAGCTGATGCCTGATTGAAGCAATAAGGACTACAACAGAAGCAAGGGCATACTGCACCCACAGGGTCCAAATACACAGCACATTGTCGGGAACTTGTGCTGATGGGCTGATTTTGCGTGACTAAACTTGACATACAAATATACAAAACCTTTTCACTGGTGCACATGAGTAACATCCAGTACATTGTGTGCGTTGTTTGGGACTGAAAGAGTTGTGCGTTGTTTGGGACTGAAAGAGTTAAGTGCCAACTAGTATGTAAAAATATGGGTCTAGTACATTGGTTCTCAACCCTCCTAATGCCGCGACCCTTTAATACAGTTGCTCATGTTGTGGTGACACCTCCTCCCCCCTTTCCAATCATAAAATTATTTTCGTTGCTACTTCATAACTTTAGTGAACATGTGTTTTTCTATGGTCTTAGGCAGCCCCTGGGAAAAAAGGTTATTTGATGCACAGGTTGAGAACCGCTGGTCTAGTACCATATGCTCCATGGCATAAAAAGATCCTTTACTTACCATATATCTCCTTGACACCCCCACGTATAATATGACCCCTATTAGTAAAGTATAGGACCCTTTCCCACGCCTTTAGGCGCATAGGGCATATAGGGCTAGAGTTATATAAATTGGTCAACATTACACCGGCGGCCTTTACTTTCCGGGACTGCGCCCGGTACCCACTTAAGGCTTTGTCGATCTGGGAGCCAAGGTCATTTTTGAAAAAAGTCTGGCTCTGCCAGGGAGCAAACCCACAACCTTCCGATCTGCCACAGCAACTACCATGACCCCTATTAGCCTAAAGTTAAGATACAAATATTTTTAACAAACTCTATGTATAAGCCACCCCCCTTTTCAATTTTTTACTTAAAAAAAAATTTGGGAAAACACAGCATCTTATACAAGGGGAAAAATACAGTACTTAATCTGTTAGTGTCAAAATCTGATTAAGAAAGCATACTGTTGGCAGGAAGACTCTTCTTAACAGTGTTTCACAGCAATAAATATAACACATAATATAGGAAACTGCAAATACATAAACCTTACAAGCATTACGCATATGCTTTATGATAGAACAGCAGTTTGGATGTCTGGTCGTTTGTGTGTCCCATCACAAAATGGCCGATTGTTTGACTGCTTGCAGAGGCACAGCCGGTATTCCTTCGTTTCTTCTACGGTGAAAGGTAAAGGTCGATATCTACTGTGATGCGGTCGGTTAGCCACAAAATTGGGTGCCTTGTGAGAGCTATCACAGAAGGGCTGAAATTAGAAGTTACCAAACAATACTGTGAGACAGCAGACAACATACGCAGTGGCACTGATTAGCATGAACAAAGAGAAGAAATAGTTATACTATTACCTGTACATTGAGGAGTCGCTGAGGTGCAGTGGCTAGATGCTTCCCTGCGGATTGTAAGGTCATGGGTTTAGATCCTTAAGGAGGTGGACTTTTTTCAAAAATGGCCTTGGTTTCTAGGCCGACCCAGCCTTGAGTGGGTACCAGGTGCAATCTTGTGAAGTAGAGGCTGCAGGCGTGATTCTGATCATAACATACAGCAAGTGCTGATTGGTTTATAAAATATAGGTCTAGCCCTATATGCATGAAGGTGTGGAAAAGGGTCCTTTACATTACTTACTATCTGTCTATTCATTTTCTTTGTTCTGAAATATACCATTTTCATTGTGTTCTTCTTCTCTTCCTCCAGTTACCCCAGAGAAGTGTTGGGGCAGATGTAAGGATCTTCTGCCTGCTCTTTCTAATGGTGGTATAGGTTGATCTTTAGGTGACTCGGTCACACGTGGAGAATGGAGGATGGCAGAGTCCTTACAGACATCCTCTATGGCAGAGATAATCAACTGGCGAGCTGCAGGCCAGATTTGGTCCGCAGAGGCCTAGTAAGTGGCCCGCGGATCATTGCCAGCCACATTTTATTATTGATCTTTCTATGCTAGTGCTTAGGTCTCTGGCTCGTGATGATCTCCATTTACAACATTCTGGCCCCTGAGTAAACTTAGTTGAAGGGTCCTGCTCTACGGTGAATTGCAGAGGGGTAGAAGTTGTCAAGGTCAGCATCTTCTATGATATAAAGGTGTGTGCCAGCGGGACACGAATGATATAGGTACTGAGGTCGATGCAAGGGAACACAAAGCCATGGACTGTGCTGAATGGAAAGGAAAAATGAAGAAGGGAACAATGACATTTCTTAACATGGGCAGGTCTTGCTAGTCACACCTGACATCTCCATGCCTTGTCATTCCCATGCCTTCTCACAGCACAATATAATACTATCATCTATAACATTTCTCCAAGGCTGTTCTTGACGCCATTGTTTGACCTTTCTGTGTGGTCTTCCCCCTAACTCTGTGTGTGCTCATTATATTTCTTAAATGTGACGTTCTGTGGTAGTTGATGTCCGAGGTCCTGGATAGTCAGCCTCCTGTGGATATTTTCTCCAAGTCATGCCAGTGTGTTGGGAAACAAGTAGACAGATAGACTGGCTGGTTCTGCACCACTTGGTGGTGAACTGATACATGGAAAAACTAGATGTTGTGAGGACCCTTTGGGATCGAGACAGTGCAGAGGCACAAACATATTATACTGGTCTAAGGAGAATGGCGCTGCGAGGAGTTTCCAGGAGATCTGGCTGACATTAAAGACTCAAGGGAAAGGTGAGATGGATATACAATCAGTTACTCAGAACTGGAACTTTTCGCTTGCTGCTGAAGATAGGGATGGAGCGCTTATGGGAGTGTCCCGAGCGCTGTGATGTCGATTCAACATTCAATGTCAGAGCAGTTTCATCAGATGGTCAAACTATTTGATTTGTTGCTCTTTAATGGGCTGTATGACTGGTTTTCATTCTAGTCTCTTTGTCTTCTTCTTTGCCTTCTGTTTCATATGCTCAGATCAGACCATCAGGTGGCTGCCTTTATAAACTTGCATGTCAGTAGCAGGTCCTTCATGGTTCCACATAGCTTGCTCTGCAGATTTTGCTCTTGAGGCCAGGTGACTTTTTGAAGTTGTATGTAGAGTGGGCAGGTGAACTGATACATGAAAATCTAGATGTTGTGAGGGCCCTTTGGGAGCGAGACAGTGCAGAGGCACAAACAGATCATTACGGTCTGAGGAGAATGGCGCTGCGAGGAGTTTCCAGGGGATCTGTCTAACGCTCAAGACTCAAGGGAAAGGCGACATAGATCTACAATCAGTTACTCGGAACTAGAACTCTCTGCGTGTTGCTGAAGATAGGGATGGAGTGCTTATGGGAGTGTCCCGAGCGCTGTGATGTCGATTCAACATTCAATATCAGAGTAGTCTCATCAGATGGTCAAACTATTTGATTTTTTGCTCTTTAATGGGATGTATGATTGGTTTTTATTGCTAGTCTCTTTGTCTAAATCATCAAGTTCAAAGTTTTAAATCACTGAGCTGGTTCTTCAGCTTCCTAATTTATCACCATGTCACAGGTCCTTGAGAAACACTGCTTCCATCATGGCTGTTGGAAAGCCTCTTGGTGCTTGTCAAAAATCCTGCCTAAGGTTTTTCCAGTATGAGGCATTCACATTCATGTTAGTCGACTCCTGTCTTGTCTTTCAAAGAACATATCCTCTATCTATGGTTTTACAAGACTGCAGTGTTTATTATGGCCTTCCCATATAACTCATCTTACTCTCTAATTCTTTTCTCTTATTTAGGCTTCTTGTTATCTCTTTTGCCCTCTGGGTTCCAGTAAAGGACAAAGTTATACTATAAGCAGCATTCATTTGAAACCCTTCCAATGGCTTTATTATATAAAAGAAACATCAACAGGTGTGGCAGAATTAAACAAAGCATTCATTTTGAATGAATTATGATGCATCATGGGTTGGTCAGAAAAAAAGTCATTGTAGGCATTTAGACAAGCCTCCCATTGCTCAGGTAGGTGATGAATGCCATGCGCAAAATATAACTGTGGTTGCTGGCTGAACCAAGTGTTCACAATGTTCATTATGTCTGCTGCATCTGTGTGAAATTGTTGCCCTTCGAACAAATGAAAATCACATGTTGAGAAATCCTGACTAAGAATTCCCATGTCTTCCATGCTAACACTTCCTGCACAATCTTTGCAACATGCAGACAAGCATTGCTGTGCAACAAAATTGCACAGCAAGAAGGCATACTGAGACATTAATTTATGATGGCTTTAAGCAACATGGGAAGTCACCATGGCGGAGCGGCTAGACGCTCGCCGTGGATCAGAAGGTTGTGGGTTCACTCCCTGGCGGAATAGGACTTTTGTCAAAAAAATGACCTTGGCTCTCAGGTCGACCCAGCCTTGAGTGGGTACCGGATGCAGTCCGGGGAAGTAGAGGCGGTTGGCGTGATGTTGACCACATCACCCATCTTGTGCCGATGGTCTATAAAAATATAGGTCTAGCCCTATAAGCCTAAAGGCATGGAAAAGGGTCCTTTACTTTTTTAAGCAGCATGGGAGCCGTCATTGTGTAACAGCTAGATGTTTTCTCATAGATCTGAAGGTTATAGGTTCAAATCTGAACGGAGCTGGACTTTATTAAAAAAAAATGACCTTGGTTTCCAGATCGACCCAGCTTTAAAGGGGTACCAGGTAAAGTCCTGGGAAGTAAACGAGGCTGGCGAGATGATGTCCATATCAGCCACTGAATGCCGATTGGTCTTTAAATACAGTTCTAGCACCGTATGCACAATACACCCACAGCGTAGAAAAGGGTACTTTATGGAGCTTGTCTAGTGTTTCCAAGTAGTCAGTAGAGTTGATATTGACATCAAGTCTGCCAACCTCAGCCCTTCACTGTCACAAAATGCGCTCAGCATAACCGTACCAGTGGAGACGTGAAACTTGAACTGTTCGGCTACTGGTGATCCAGCATGCTTCCATTGCTCTCTTTTGTAATTGTTATCATGTCTTTCCCATATAATAATGTAATTATTGAGTAAAAATGAACAAAATTAATTTCCAAAGGGTTACAAATTAGGCAAATACGCTTCTTTAAAATAAATAAGTACATATTATATGGGAATACTATGTTGGGGGGAGGGGTGGATATTACAAACTACAAAAGATAGCAAAGGGTGGGAGGGTTGGGCATGAAATAGTTCAGGGGCTTGCACCATTGAAGGGTAAAAAAAAAACACACACACAATAAAGAAGTTTCATAAAGATGAAAAAAAGTTTATACAAGTAACATGTACCTGATTTTTACTGTAACCACAAGTACAGTATAAATACTTCTTTCCTGCCTCTAGTAAAACGTTCATAGGTTTCTTATCACATATCTTTCCTTTCACTGGGTCAAGTGTCTGCGTTTCTGCCTGTGGTTTTTCACTCTTTGGATCACTGCTGTTGTTCTGACTGGAGCGATATCTCTGGGCTGAATACTGAACAAACAAAAAGGCATTTATTTTATTATTAGAAAAAAGAAATTACTAAATGGTTACACAGAAACATTAATTCTGAAGCTTTGGTAAGAGCTAAACAAATTTGAGTGAAATCAAGATGTCAGGAAAAGCTGCTGGTGATAAGAAACACATTCAGAAAACCTGATAACAGCTTACAATGAAAAGGCTTTTACCGGAGTCCACATGGCAACAACAAAAAAACTACATATAAGGAAGAGAATTTGAGACAGGGATGAGTAACAATGAGTGGCCATGGAGTTCCAGGAGATACCACAAGATCGGAGTTGGCAAGAGCTCAGTGAGGACCTAGGTTCAAAGGGAGATAACTGGCAGAAGAGGAGGTATGGAACTTTGAGGGAAAAGAAAAGAAACATAAGAGGAGGCGTGCACTAAAAAAAAAGAAAAAAAAATAACAAAAGAGGAGGATGTTTAAAACTTACCAAAAAAAAAAAACCACATTAAAAAACCCACAAAAAAACATAATGAATATCCAAAGAATAAGGCATGTGATGCCCGAGTCATAGCTGTTTAGACTGATGGTTTTTTTATAGGTAATGTGGTCAATATCAACGTGGTAGCCTATGAAGGTTAGCGTCTTTGGTGCAGATGCTGCGAACATGTTTCGTAATGCCAGGTTCGATTTCAGGTGTGCAAGCGATTTACCAGCAGACCCAGCTGCAATGGTTTTGACAGTCATACTGAGAGCTGACCATTCAATAAGAAATGGCAAACTACTGAAAATAAATTTGCCTAGAAAAACCACAACAGCCAAAATATACTGAGTTTGGTTCTGCAATGTCCTATAAAGAGCAGCAACTAACTTAGACTGTAAAGGGTCACATTTTATTATTATTATTAAAATGGGATTTTTGTTTCAGTTCTTCTTTCCTAATATTATTATGAATATCATTTGTTTTAACCTTTTCAGTCCCAGATAGTGTCAATGCTAAAGCTGTTGTATCCTAAAGCAACAATCTGCTACTCTCATAGTGCTGAAATATACAGCTCTGGGAGAGAGGGTATTATAATAACAGGAAAATAATAGGTTAAGACAGGCTGACCCAACCTTGAGTGGGTACCGGGTGCAGTCCCGGGAAAGTAAAGGCAGCCGACGTGATGCTGACAACACCCATCTTGTGCCGACTGGTCTATAAAAATATAGGTCTATACGTCTAAAGACCTGGAAAAGGGTTCTTTACTTACTTTACTACGACAAGAATGGATTAGGAAAAGTAAATAACTGTGTTCCATATATAGTGTAACCAATAAATGTATAGCAAGTTCATTAGAAGTAAATGCACATATTATTAGAAACGATCAAGCCCAGCAAAATCTTGTATTATAATTAGTAATCTCTTTTAATAACGGAATGCTGGAATAAAAACACAATAATAAAATGTAAAATATCACAGGTCTTACGTATTCATGAACAAATATTTAGTCACTTATTCAGTCAATGAGTGAGTAAATTCTAAACCACAATGAAGATTTAATTATTTATAAGAAAACTTCTACTGGCAACCGGCCTCCTTATACTATTCTTACTTAAAAATTAAATAATATAATTATAAATTATAATAGTTTTTATTTTTCTGACAGGGGGTGAAGGTGAGAAGAGAAGGATCCAAGAAGATGATTATTACAAGAATTACCTGCGAGGGCTATTTAACTTGCAGTCCGCGTGCCAAATCTGGTCTGTGGAGACCTAGCAAGTGGCCCGCGGCTCATTGCCAGTTGTACCGTTTTAATGATGTTTCCATGTCAGGTCTAGCGCCGGTGGTCCGTGAGTGTGACTGACGATACCCATTTTCAAAACTTTGGCCCCTTGGTAAACTTAATTGAATTCTACTGCTACACTAATAGAAGAGAGTATATTTGTTTTGTTTATAATCTTCATCGTCATGTGACCTGCCAAGTGGCGTAGGTGCTCATGCGTCTCCACATACCATGATCCCTGGCTGCCTGGAACAGCTCTCTTGATGATATCCCTCCAAGCCATCTTTTCATTCCATCCAGCAGCGTCTCTCTAGGTCTGCCTCCTCTACCCCTTTTCTCCACTGATCTTTCTAGCTAGTTGTCAGGATGTTCTCCAATGTCTCTCTTCTCCTTATGTGACCAAAGTACAGTGTTTGTCTCTTTCCTATTGTTGTATATATAGATCTACTTTCATTAGCCTCTTTCAAGCAATCGTTGTTAGTTACTCTGGCCGTCCTGGATATTTTCGTAACATTCGTCTCAGAAACCACATCTCTGTTGCTTCCAAATTCTTCCTAATTTGTTCACTGACATTCCAAGGTTCGAGGTTCTATGTAACATTTTAGCACCCTTTTTGATATATTTATGCTTGTATAAAACACATTTATAGTGTTAACAAGATTATAAATAATCTACAGGCTATTGAGAAGTGATTACAAGTGACAGGAGGAAGTAACATAAACTAAACTACGAGACAACACCGATCACTGATAACTGGATAGTGTAGTGCAACTGAACAATGGCACCGATGGACGCCATTTGTTTTGGTTCCGGTGTAAATACGCAATAACTAAACAAGAGATTGTCTGTAAAACAATACAGACAGTTTCCTAATGTCTTCATTACCAACAACCGCTGAAAACTTGCTTTCTGGAATGACAGAAACATACACTGCAACTTGCAACTCTTCCCCGTGGAGTTTAAGACCAGGGACGCTGCCATCTTTTAAAGAAGGAATGCAGCAAAAATGTCACCTGCCTGTCCTGTATGTAACACCTTGGGTATGGTTGACTGACTAACGTTTCTCGTCAAGTTACTTACACCCACGTAGCTTTTTCATTTTGTTTAAAATGTGGACAAACATCGGCGTATTAAACGTAGGGCGTGGACCCATTATCTTATGGACCATCGATGGATAATAAGAAACCAAAGAGATGGGGGGGGGGGGGGGGGGGGGGGGTTCCTCAATTGTTCCTCTCTAGGATTGCTGTCCATAGGCCCTCATGTAGGTTTCGGGATCCCATTTCAAAGGGAAAAGTATAGACGAACTGCCCCTTCAAAAGCATGTCGTAAAGGCCAACAAACCAATTAGGGGTACATCTGCCTATTCAACCGTGTAACACAGTTATACTGAATGTTGGATATTGAACTAAGAATCGCCATCCCAGCAATCGGGACACTCCCATAAGCGCTCCCTCCCCATCTTCAGCAGCAAGCGAAGGGTTCCAATTTCGATGGTACCAGTAACTGTCTGATTGCATATCCGTCTTGCCTTTCCCTTGAGTGCTGAGCGTCGACCAGATCCTCTGCTAACTCCTCGCAGCGCCATTCTCCTCAGATTATGGTTCATTTGTGCGCGATTAAATGTATAATGAAGGCTGTAACTCTCAAGTGTAATCTCTTCGTTAATCTTTACTTAAGATCGATTGGACCAACGGGTCTAGATCATTGACATAAACAAGGGTTAAACCTCCCCCCCCCCCTTCACACCCCCGAGACCAGGTAGGTAGGTAGGTGCTTTGCTGCGCAACACATAGTCACCTTCAACCAACATCCCCGATAGGAGACCTTTAGGTTAAACTTGTGGTTAGGTTAAGTGCGCCATATAAAATGGCTTATCACTGCACTCCACCGAGAGCCATGAAAAGCCTTCCTGTAGTGTTGATGCGATCAAAGGAGACGGACCCAAATACTGTCCAGACCATCGACGAAGTCGTTTATCGGCGAACCAATGGGCGACCTGGTGACCGATGCCGCAGCGACTTCAATTACCCAAATTATTGTAATTATTTAGCATACCGTTTGCTGTAATCTTGTGCAATATTTCTAATTGAACATAACAAGATTGGCACAAAAAATAATGTAGCCTAAAATATAACTACCGCATTTTACTTAAATTGTCATTCCATTAACGAATTCTGTTAAGACTAATAAAATCGCTCGAATCGCGTTAGAGCAGCGACTATTTCGTTTACCTGCTGGCTTAGGGGTGATGTGCTCGAATCTCCTTCAGGAGGAGGATTTGGGAGGGGGGGGGGTAGGGGGTGGGGGATTTTTTAAATAATTAGTTAATGTGTAGCCTTCGTTTACATTGTAAATACAGCTACTTTCATTTACTCCGTAACTAGGCGCTTGGGGGGGGGGGGGGGTGGGGGGGGGAGGGGGAGGGGGAGGGAAGAAAGTGAGAGAGATGGAGACAGTGAGAGGGTGACGGGGAGAGACGGGAGAGAAATAGAGAGAGGATGAAGAGAGCAACACACAGAGAAGAGATGGAGAGAGCCAGAGAGCGAGCGAGAAAGAGATCACAGTTTAAAAAAAAAAATAAATTACCTGCATATCAACTACTAAGGACTTTTCAAATAATTTTACTAAGGGCCAAAATATTGATACTGGGGACTGAAGGCTGGATGTTGAATTAAGAATTGACATCACAGAACTCGGGACACCCCGTAAGCGCTCCGTCCCCATCTTCAGCAGCAAACAAAGATAAAGGGGATTGTAGCGGGCTAGAAGTCCAACATAGAAAGATCACTAATACAATTCAGTTAGCAGTAATCAGCAGGCCACTTGCTAGGCTTATCACGGGCCAGATTCAGCCCCCGGACCGCCAGTTGAATAGCCTTTCCTGCGGAAGTTGTTAAGCCATGTGTATGGTTCACAGGATGTTACAGAACCCACCAGATTATAAACAGCATATTCATACCAACACTGTGCTATCAGTGCAAGACTTGAACGTTATCAGACTAAACTATGTAATATTAACATCTGTGAAATGAGATGCCTGAGAAAAGCTGCCAACTCAACCATCCGAGACACATTTTGAAATAATCTTATCAGACAGACTGTAGGAACAACACCATGCAGCAAATTCACTGAGAAACAGTAGATACAATAGTTTGATCATTTAGTAAAAATGCAGACAGAACATCTACCACTGCAGTCGCTACACATGGAAGGATCTGAAGTAAAAGCAAGAGGCCGTCCTAGGAGAATATGGATTGATGACATTAAAGAGCTTCTACATCGACACGGAATGACAGTAGCCATTGCTACTCATCAAGTAATGGATCGCAAACTGTTCCTGCTTAATGGCAGTGGAAACTGATGATGATGATGATGACAGAACCCACCCCTGCATTTGTTTGCTGTGTAACATTTTACAAGATAATTTTGGCATCGCAGTCTAAACGGTTGGCAGTCGATACTTCGGTTGAAATCAACGGAGAGAGAAAGAAAGAGAGAGAGAGAGAGAAAGAGGGAGAGAGAATGAGAGAGAGAGAGAGAGAGAGAGAGAGAGAGAGAGAGAGAGACCTGATATTAGTACTGAATGGTACCAATGAGAATGGAACAGTGCCAGATTGGCTTTTGTACCGACTTTGAAAACTATACTTAACCAAAGCAAGATTCATAAGAGCCTTTTAGAAACACTTTTAACGGCGCCATTACACAAGACCAGTACTGTAAATAGGATTTAAATAGAATTACAGACTGTCTTTCACACTCATCGTCAGGCACAGATATGAAAAAAAGAAGCATATGCCGCAGACGAGAAAACGAAACAAAAACACAACCTCTGATAGTAAATGTCAGAATTCTGATTACAGACGCTGATGGCTTTTATGAAAAGGGCAGCACAGATTTCGCTGCCTTGTATGTCTGAGGCTTTGTATCGCTTTCTGTACATTAAATAATGTAACATTATCTGATTTCTTTCTTTCTGTCTCTTGTGGGTGTGTTCTCTCTCTCTCTCTCTCTCTCTCTCTCTCTCTCTCTCTCTCTCTCTCTCTCTCTCTCTCTCTCAAAACACATATCAGTCATTTCCCCCACATGACAGTATTTTTACTTGCCGCTATATTTTTTTTATAGGCTTTTATTATAATATTAACTTTTGTTTCGAGGGTCCGCCTCCTATTTCCTTTCCTATTTTTGTCTGTTTTTTTCCTTATTCTTCTCCTCCCACCCCTTCTCATTCTCCTCCTCCTCATCCTCCTCCTCCTCCTTCTTCTTCTTCTTCTTCTTCTTCTTCTTCTTCTTCTTCTTCTTCTTCTTCTTCTTCTTCTTCTTCTTCTTCTTCTTCTTCTTCTTCTTCTTCTTCTTCTTCTTCTTCTTCTTCTTCTTCTTCTTCTTTTTCTTCTTTTTTTTCTTCTTCTTCTTCTTCTTCTTCTTCTTCTTCTTCTTCTTCTTCTTCTTCTTCTTCTTCTTCTTCTTCTTCTTCTTCTTCTTCTTCTTCTTCTTCTTCTTCTTCTTCTTCTTCTTCTTCTTCTTCTTCTTCTTCTTCTTCTTCTTCTTCCAAGGAATGAAATGAAATGATGAGGTTAAAAAGGCAGAATGTAAGACAGGCCTGCGTGCATATTCCACATTCTTCGTTCGTTTGTTCTTCTTCTTCGGCTACTGCTTCTACTATCGTTGTTCTTGCTTTCAGCATGCAGTACATATATTTGGGGGGGGGGGGGGGGTGTGGAGTTTTGCTCAAAGTGTCCGAGCACCTAGATTTATCCTTCCCTTACTGCGCATATAATGCTCGTATTTAATAATAATAATAATAATAATAATAATAAAAGCCTGATAGGGGGTGAGGTCAGTATCGCACTGGCTGCCACAACTTTCAGGACAATTCCTAGAAACCGTTTGATTCGCATTTGACACTGGAGCCAAGGTCTCATTTGACACTGGAGCCAAGGTCTCATTTGACATTGGAGCCAAGGTCTCATTTGACACTGGAGCCAAGGTCTCATTTGACACTGAAGCCAAGGTCTCATTTAACACTGGAGCCAAGGTCTCATTTGACACTGAAGCCAAGGTCTCATTTGACACTGGAGCCAAGGTCCGTTTTGAAAATCCGCTTCAATGTGAATTCAGTCCTATGACATCCAGGCCAAATATACTGGGCATTGCTCCACCAGGAATCTCGAGTGTTAAAACAAAAAAGTTAATTGCATATTCTTTACATGACTTTGCAGAACCAACCCCAGCATTTTTGTTTGGCTGCTATGATTTTTGATATACCCGATGCGCATCTGGCGTAAAACGAACAATTTCTGAATTAAAAAAAAAAAAAATGAAACTCTTTCAACAAACTGGCAACATTTATTTTGTAGCAGTTATAGTGCTAGCCACTGAACTGCTACTTTCTGAAATTGAAACCGTACATTAATTAAATCCTCATTTCCTAGATCCTCATAAAAAGGGATCAAATCCAGAGCATATTAACACTAGCTAGGTGCAGTTTCCTACAGAGAGTTCAGACAAGCTGCGATATTAAATCTGCCATTTCTTTTCATGCTAATCAAATGGCCAGAGTTTCGTGGCGCATGGCCAGCAGAGCCAGTTTTTGGCGCATGCAAACAAAGCTGCAAAGATCTGGGTCCCAGAGCATAAAACCTGTATCAGAGTAAGACAAAACCTCATGAAATGAATTAGCATCTGACAGCCGTCGACTAATTAACCCGGCTCTTGGGCTAATTGTGTGGCAGATGGTATTGTCAAGCTCGGATTATGTAATGTTTCTTTCACATGGCTAATTAGCAACCACATAAATGAGATGTCTGAGAAAAGTTGCAGGAGTGACTAGAAGAGATATTATCAGAAATAAGGTCATAACAGAAACATTCGACACAGAACCAGTTCTGAATTACACACCGACAGTGAATTAAGTGGTTTGCCATCTCAGAAGGAATGCCATGTGACGCCAAACTAAATTAGGCAACATTTAAGGAGGAGGA